TAAAAAGCTACTTCATAGTCACCATATTATTAGACAGTAATCTGTTAAAACACTTCCTCTCTAGATTATAGCAACTTTTTAAGGATATTGGGGACTGGTCACATGGGTGTTTTATAGGGTCAATATATCATAATTCTTCTGCAACTACCTGGTTAAATTGAGTAATCTATATAATACTCAAGATAAAAGGCAGTCGGCTAAATGTATTATACCATCACTTCCTCTACTAATATAGGGAATTAGGGGAGATAGAAGACCAAATAATTGATAATTATTTCAGTATAACTCTGTGACAAACAATAGCAGATGTACAGAATCTGGCCACTTTGTCAGTTGTCTGACCATTTTGGTCTGAAAGGAGATATTCTACATAGAATTTGTCCTGTCTACCAGGGAATTTTTGAATGAGAGGAGTTATAAATGAGGCTCTAATATCTTTATAAAAGGAGCAATAAAGAAGAACATGACAAACTGTCTCTACTTTGTCAGAACAGCAAGGGCTAAGCTGGTTCGAGTATGGAATTTTTTTATATTTGCCATCTAGGACAGCAGAAAGAAAGATGTTCAGTCTGGCTAACATGAAAGCTCTTCTTAATTTAGGAATACTCAAGCTTTCAAAATAATTAGCAATTGTAAATACTCCACTGTTTTCTTTACATATAAGATATGAAGCTGTTTCATTTTTATGGTTTTGAAGATCAATGTCTTTAATATGTTGCACAATATCTGATTTTGCTTTATTATAGCCCAACATTAGGACATAAACTATTGAAAAGCCAACATCAGATAGTTTGGTAATTATGTTTTTCTTCTAGTTTGATTGATGATAATCAGTTGATATTAGTGGTGCTAGACCTACCAGTTCAAACAGTAACTTTAGCAAGAAATTGAATTTGTGCAGCCAAATGCAAGCCTCAATTGACATTAACCCTGCTTCTAACCTTAGGATTGCACTGGGAAAGCAGTTGGGGACCTTTCAGGGTTGTTGTTGACTGTCCTCAAGTCGATCACGACACATGGTGATCCTTTGGATGAGACATCTCCAAGCCTCCCTATCTTCCATTGCTGTGCTCAGGTCCTGTAAATTCAGGACGATGACCTCTCTGATTGAGTCTATCCATCTGGCCTTGGACTCCTCTTTCTCCTGCCTTCTACCTTCCCCAGCATTTTTATCTTTTCTATTTAGCCATGCCATCTCATGATGTGGCCAAAGTACAAGAGCCTCACTCTGATCATCTTGCTTTCTGGGAGAGTTCAGGCTTGATCTGTTCAAGGACCCATATGTTTGTCTGTCTGTCCATGATATCGTCAACACTCTTCTCCAGTACCACATCTCTTCTTATCTGCTTTTTCCCCTGTCCAACTCTCACTTCCATACATGGTGATTGGGAATACAATAGCTTGGATGATTCTAACTTTAGTGTTCAGTTGTATATCTTTTAGAATCTTGCATGACGTAGTGGCTTGAGTGTTGGACTATGACTCTGGAGAACAGGGTTCGAATCCCTGTTCAGCCATGGAAACCCACTGGGTGACCCTGAGCAAGTCATACACTCAGCATCAGAGGATGGCAATGACAAACCACCTCTGAAGAAAAACCTGTGATAGGGTCACCATAAGTCAGAAATGACTTGGAGGCACACAACAACAACAACAACAACAACAACAACAACAACAAGAAGTTATTTCATGGCTGCTCTTCCCATTCCTAGTCTTCTTCTAATTTCTTGGCTGCAATCCCCATTTTTTATCAATACAGATCTTTTTTACGATTGTTGTGTGCCTTTTGTTTATGACTTTTGTTTTTGACTTATAGCGACCTTATCATCGGGTTTTCTTGGTAAGATTTGCTCAGGAGGGGTTCACCATTGGCCTTCTCTTAAGGCTGAGAAAGTGCAACATGCCCAAGGTCATCCAGTGGGTTTACATGGCCGAGCCAGGATTTGAACCCTGGTCTCCAGAGTTGGATAGAATACAATCCTATATACCCGGATACTTGCAGATAAACTCCTCTGAGTTCAGTGGGATTTCTCAGCAACCATTCTGCTGCAGCATATTGTGATGATTATGTGTCAAAACAGTTTCATTCTCTCCTTTAAACAGAACTTCTGGCCATAAAGGGAGGGCTTCTCATTCCCCCAAACAACTGCATTCTGTCACATCCCATGAGCCTGAAAAGAGGGATTTCCCTGGAAACAGCTTCCTTGCAGACCCTCCTCCTTCTCCCCCTCCAGAAATCAGACACCCAGACTTTTAATCACTCCCTCTTTCAGGGAGAAATATATATATATATATTTCCTCCTCCTCTGCCTTTCCTCTTGGAGAGCCTTTTTTTTTTTCCTCTTTCCCTCCCTCCCTCCTTCTGCAGCTTGCTCTTTGTGCCTCAATGCCTCTTCCTCCTGCTTGGCCATGCATGCAACTTGCCATGCAACAGAGGCGCCTTTAAAATAACATTTAAAAAGATCAGGAGACGAGCTGAGTTTCCTCTGCAATCCAAACATGTCATGGGCCCTACAGAGAAACTGGATTGCAACTTTGGCTTTTTGGGTTCCCTTCCTTAATAATATCCAGGCGTTGGGCTATGGTAGGACTCTTCCACCGGGCAGATTTGCCTTTCCAGACCAGAGGCAAGGTCAGTGGTTTCTCTCCTTTCTTTAACGTGGCAATTCTTCCTCCCCATTCCCACCCTCTTGATCTTCTCTTTCTCTTTTTTTCTTTCTTTCTTTCTAAAAAAAGAGCCCCACCAGTAAGGAGAGAACTTTCCTTTTTGATTTGATGCACTCAAGTCTCTTCTTCCACTGTTTGCTCAGCACTGGACCACTGGTTACATTTATTTTGGTAAAGTGTCTACTGTATGTACTACACTTCCAAAACTTGAGAAACTGCCTGGGAAGAGGGTGACTACAACTCCCAGATTCCCCCAACCAATAACACATCTGCTGGCTGGTTGATTTGGGGAGTTGGAGTCCAAAATTTTTCTGGGGTCAGTTTTATTGGCCAGCTTAACACAGCTCTGCCAATGCAGGCATCCAGAACTTCTGAACTCCTAAAATGCAGAGGGAGCGCTGGAAGTTTTTGTCCAGCCTTCCACAAAAACAAAAAGTTCATTTGAGTTGAAATCCTAAAGGATTCCTGCAGCTGGCCAGCTAGTTTGTAACATTTAGGCCTCGTTCCCACTATGATTTAAAGCGAACTGCAGATCGGGCTGTATGACCATCGTTTCCACTTGAAACCAGTTCTGATCCTATTGGACTCAGTTGCAATTGCGAAGAAGCGAGGCAAAAACATAAAACCCGCTGTTTCCTGACACTAGTTCTTTGGTGGTTCTTTTGAAATGAATCGATTCAGAAGTGTGTTCATCAAGTGGGAACAATGGAACTGAATCGGATCATACTGGAGGGGAGGGACTAATGGCAGAGGGGTGTTTACCATCCCGACTCAGTTTTTGGGAGATGCATCATTTTCCCCTCCCCTAGCGCTGCCTTTGTGCTTGTGTGACCTATGGGTGCTATATACACACCCACACCAAATTACTGAATATATGATCCATTGTTTTTGCAACTACTTGGTGGCATGCCAGGTGATCAGGCCTATGGCAGCTCAGTGAGACAAGTAGTTGCAAAACTAATGGATCGAATCTTCTATCAATATATATTTTTTAAAAAAAAAATAGTTCCCAAGCTAGGCTGCTCAAAGGGGAAATAGTGTACTTTTGAGCAGCTTGCTAAAGTCAACCTGCTCTGGCCCTGTCTTCACCGTGTTGCCACTTGTGTTACCAATGACACCTAGATGATTGACATGCATTTTGAAGTGGTGCAAACTCATGGGAATGACAATCGTGCCAAAAAAGAAACATTTACAAGGGAATAATTAAAAGATCTGCTTACATAGTGGGAACGACAGACCTTTTGGAATTGATTCACCGACACGGAGTGAAGGAGAATCATAAACTGGTTTAAATGTAAGTGTGAATGAGGCCTTAATCTCATTTCCAAAAGGGTATTATAATGATGATTATTCACATTGGGAAGGCTTGGGCTTCCCCACAAATAACCTTTGGGGAGGTAGGTCCTTCCCCCCTTTAATATTCACAACTAAACTTGTCAAATAATGTATTTTACTCTGCCTTTTCCATCACACCTTTCTTCACTCATATAAACAATAATGAAGTTTAATGCAATTTGAACCAGACCTTAGAAAAAAATCTTTGTGCAAAAACTAAACTAAAACAAAAACCCTGACATACTAAACAAACATAACAGAATAAGCGAAAAATATGTATATATACAAATATACGTTTATCGTGATAAGCTATATTGTTTATCGTGATAAGCTATATTTTTGTATATTTTTCTTTTTCCTTTTTGGTTCTGTAATTGTCGTTTATTGTATCATTATGTTTTTAATCAATAAACTATTAAATTTTTTTAAAAAATTAAAAAAAAAGAAAAACATCTTTGTGAACTATAACTCCCAGACCTCCCTAGACAGCACGTCCACTCCTTAAATGCCATACTTCCTCTACAGTTGCTCCACTCCCAAGACCTTGGTTTGAATGAAGGTGGGGCAACATTTTCTGTTCTTCCTCAGGAAACATAGTGTTTTGGGGTCAACCCTGCCCACATGTTTTTACAGCTACATGAATTTGGCTGTATGAGCTGGAGAATCTGTGCTATGTGCCATCTTTCTTTTCCACCTTCTAATCCCAGTGAGATCGTGGAACATTGAATGGCCATCCTGCAGGATGTTTTATGTTGGAGACAGTGACATTACTAGGGGTTGGGGGGGTGCAGACCGCAGCAGGTGACATACTAAGGGGAGGTGACACCACTGCTCCTCAAACACCTAACTTTTGGCAGAAACGGCCTGTGGCATTCATCTGCTTCCCTTTCAAATGCTTTAAGACACGGGTAGGCAACCTTTCCCCTTTAAGGGCCGAGGGACTTCAGCTCCCAGAAGCCTCAGCCATGTTGGCCAATAGTCCCATATTGGCCAATAGCTCCTGGGATTCTGGGAGCTGAAGTCCCTTGGCCCTTAAAGGGGAAAGATTGCCTACCCCTGCTTTAAGAGATGTGAGAGGGGAGTAAGATGAAGCTCACTGGGAGAAGATAGGAGAGGCCCCCCAAAAATTTAAAATTAAAATTTCAAATTTCAAAATTTCAAAATTTAATTTTTAAAAAAATGATTATTTTTTAAAAAATATTCTTTTTTTAAAAAAAATTCAAAACATCACATTTTAACCAAATCTTCACTATGTATATATAAATATATTTAGTTTGTGCATATGATATTGTAATTTGAAGGTATAATTTTAATTTTGCTAGTTGCTTATGTCACAACAATTAGCATTACATTCAGTGGTATATGGGAATTATGATTTACGAGTAACATTCATGCAAAAAAGCATTACTAAGGATTCTGTACAGTGTGAAATGGAAGGAGGTCAATGAGGAGGGATGACACCATGAATTACCACAATGGGTGACACCAGCCCTAGTGAGGCCACTGGTTGGATGAGAGTTAACAGATTGAAACTTAAACCCAACAAGATGGAAGTGGTGTGAAGTGGGAAATCGGACACTCTGGATGGTGGAGGCATTGCATATACCCTAAAGCAGGGGTTGGCAACCTAAGGCCCGGGGGCCGCATGCGGCCCACCGAGGCCTTTGGACCGGCCCCAAGCTGGTCCTGCTGCCGCTGCCACCGCCGTGCCCTGCCACCACCATGATGATATTGATTATTGTTGTTATTACTTGTTCTTGGGGTTTTCTTGGCAAAATCTCCACAGGGGTTTTGCCATGGCTTTTCTGGGGCTGAGAGATTGTGCATGCATAGTTTTTTTAAATTTTTTAAATGTTTTTAATTTTTTATTTATTTATTTATTTATGGTGCTTCGCCCCCCCAATTGTCTGAGGGACAGCAACCCGGCCCCTGGCTCAAAAAGGTTGCCTACCCCTGCCCTAAAGTTTGGATGTGCTCTTCAACTCAACACTTTCAGGGATGCCACTAGTGGTGTTAGTGGCCAGAATGCTTTTTACTAGCTTTGGTTGGCTTGCTAACTGTGGGCCTTTGCAGACTGCCAGAAATAGTGCACATTAAATTGAGGCACTGCCCTGGCTCAGTGCTGGGGAGTCATGGGAATTGTATTTTTTTTTCTGGGACATTGAGCCTTCTCTGTCAGAGAGCTCTGCTGCCACAATAAACCACAGTTCCCATGATTCCCTAGCACTGAGCCAGGGCAGTGCCTCAATTTAATGTGCACTATTTCTGGCAGTCTGCTTCCCCAATGTGGTTATTTAAAGAAGGTAGACCTTCTTGTGTTTTGATTGTTTTGATTGCATTTCCAGGCTGGTTGACTACCGTATGCTCCATGTGAGGCTGCCCTTAAGAAATATTGCAGACACTTGAATTGTTTCAGAAAGCAGCCACTAAAACATTTATTTGGATCCAGTGGTGTCACAAAGGTGGTGTGGGAGGCACAATCTGCACTGGGTAACATCCCAGAGGGGGATGTCAC